GACAATCAGAGGGCTGGAGCACCTCCACAGTGGGGATGTGCTGAGAGAACTAGGACTCTTCAGCCTGGAGAAGAAAAGGATCCAGGGGGACCTGGTAGTGGCTTGCCAGTTCCTGAAGGGGACCTACAAGAAAGATGGGGAAGAACTTTTTATAAAGGCATATAGGGATAGCACGAGGGAAAATGTTATGGAAGAGGGTAGATTAAGATTAGATAATAGAAATAAATTCTTTACCATCAGGGTGGTGAGACAGTGGAACAGGCTATCCAGTGAGGATGTAGATATCCCCTCCCTGGAAGCATTCAAGGCCAGGCTGAATGGGGCTGTGAGCAACCCGGTCTAGTGGAAGGCGTCCCTGCCTACACCAGGGGGGTTGGAACTAGATGACCTTAAAGGTCCCCTCCAACCCAAACCTTCTATTATTCTATTTTACCAATGAAATTAAATATTCCATTATTAAATAAACATCTTTTTAAAATCAGAATGCCCATGTTAAAACACCAAACTTAATCTGCTTACCTTCGCAGAAGACGAGAGTGGTACTTTGTGAATAAAGCAAATATATTCAGCCATATTAGAAATAGAAAAGATTTTGGAAATACGTGAAATACATTTCTCCTTTATAAGTTTAAAAGGCCTGCTTCTTTGAACAGTGTTACCTTCTACAATAAACTAATTACGTTAATAAATGTATTTTATTGTTAATTTATGTGATGATATTAACAGATAAAAAGTTCAACCACACAAATTGTTCCCAACTTGGCTTTTTTGCAGGCAGTTACAAAAAAACCTATAGCTCATTATGCTTCACAGATTGATTTGAAACTGAAGCAGCAATTACTCCAATATTAACAAAAAAGAGTATTAATTATCCGCAAAGTCTAAACTCTGCTAAATGATTATTTTCACCATAATTATCAGGGTATACAGGCCAACAATTATCATCAAAAGCAATTAAGCACATCCCAAGACACCATAGAATCAAGGCATCACAATAAAGCTTTCAAATTATTTCTACTAGGCTCTGACCTACCTACAGGCCTGTAAGAATTTCAGGGAAGAGAAAGGTAGGCTGCCATAAACGGTCTTAAACCCATTTGTGTTTGAGAGCATAGGAAAGCTGAGATTGCATTTTATATTCAAAAACGTGAGGAGGAAAATGAAAAATGTTTCAACGTTTCAAAAATATTTCAGGAAAAAAAAAAACAACAGTTCTCTTATTTGAGAGAAACAGTGTTGCTTGAACCTTTCGCAGCATTTACCACATAATTTAACACATGCAGCATACTTAGGCATTAAGGAAATTAAAGATTTTGGCAACGGCTTTTAGATTTAGGCACACCACTCTGGTGGGTAAAGACAATCTCAACCTATTTTATCTGATAAATAAATATTTTTAAAAATCAAAACAAGAAAAGTCTTAGAAACACTTCTTTCTGTGGTATGTGCTCTGAAAGGACTCATTTGAAAGTCAAGTAAATTATATAAATGTCAAAATTATACCAGTCACTGTCATGCTTACTACAAGATCCCTGTTGCTTTTACAGCACTGAATTTCTGTGCCAGCCTCCACAGCTATCCAACCAAGTGTCCCTGTGGTTCACACACAGATCCTATCTTCACTTTACCCTACTTCAGAACATGTAGTCTGACCCTGCTGCTGCAGATGTCACTGGTTAACCTCCCAGATGGGATAACCAAATATAGCTTTTTCCTTCCAGGCTGTGCAAGTGAAACAACACAGAATATCATTACGAGAAAAGAAAAAGAAGAAAAAGAAGTTTCTCAAAATACTGGGGTTAATCTGAATGCTTCCTTTTATATTATATTGGCCCACAACATCAGAGGCAGATGTTGGTGGTATGGCAGTAGAGCTTGAACCTTCTAATTGGTATTCCATTACATGCCATTGCCATGTGACAGATGGCAGCAGAGGGGGCACTCTGTCACAATGGCATCTGACACAGGTTTATGAAGCAAAGTTGTGTCATCATTCCTCCATGTGGATGAAATGGCATCCACTGACATTCATCAATTCTTGCTGAACATTCCTGGAGACCAAAGAACGGATGTTAGCATAGTGAGACGATAGTTGTTTCAGCGACTCTACTGGTATCAATTTTGACAAGCACAGTATGCAGGCTCTTGTTCATCACTGATGAATATGTGTAGCTAGCATGCTTAAAAATAGTATTTTGTAGCTGACAATTTGCTTTATCAAATAGTGCTATTGTGCCTTTTGTATCTGTTGTAGTTTCCATGGAAACAAATAGGAGGCATTACTTTTGAAGCAATCTAACAGGTAACACAATACGTTCTGACAAGAACAATAAAAAATCTACGTATGTTTATTATGTATAAAATTATGTATAATTATCTCATCTAATGTTATGTATATACAGGTTTGCTGATCATTTGCATTACTGAGAATCAACCACACAAAAAATAAAAATGAAATATACATGTAGATAAATGTCAGAAGCCTGTCAAACATTTTTATAATCTATTCTCATCATAAAAGACTTTGAGACATGGCTTATATTCCTCTTTGCCTCAGCTAGAAGGACAATTCTGTCAGTACCTTGAAGTTACCCCTCCTAAGCCTCATTATTAACCTTAACATTCTACAATCCATTTATGTTATTTCTGCAACTGAATCCACCATTTATAGATCTGGCTTTTCGATAACAAAATCTCTATCCATACAGTAATAAGCGAGTACTTCATTTAATTTCTACTGACACGAGCAGCCATGGGAGTGCCATACAAATGTCTCAGCTCTCCTTCCAACTGTGAAAGAAATATTTCAATTCTCGATACTCAACACAAAATGATCTAGCTTCCAAACTATGATCATATCTGAATCTATCATCAATAACCAGCCCTGCTGATATAATAATTTAAAAGAAAAAAGGAAAAAAAAAAAGAGGGATAGGTGGGGTTTCTTCTTTAAAACCTTGAGAATCAATAAATAGATTCAGAGGTAAAATAAACCAGCTATTATACAATGAATGGAGTAGGTTATTAGAAATATGACAAAAGTTTCAAAATCATGAAGGGCTCTCTACAGGTGTTAATTTTGCTACTTGAATGAAATTAATAAGACTCTCCATAAAACAGCAGGAGATTCTTAGATTACAAGTAATCAGTACGAAAATTTACTGTAGAATCATGAAGCATGAAATGTTTGTGTAATGTATGCAAAGTGGTACTTTATTCTCTGCAATGAACAATTCTGAGCCCTTATAATAGAAAAATATTTAATAGCTTGAAAACTCTTGAGGTACAGTTTTTTAAAAGTTGTTGGAGTGTGATTAATTTGATTCATGGCAAACTAACAGTGAAAGAAGGACCATCTTATTTAAACATTCAATTGTAACTATTGCCAAAATAACTGTTTAAGATTATACAAAGCATACAGAGACAATTGAAAATCCAACTTGATGTCCAGAGAAGCATGTTTTAGGAGAGTAAGTTACACAAATTCGCCAGCACGCTAAACTGAGCAGCTAAACTACTTTTTCATTGTGATATTCCTGAAACAACATACGGATAAGAGCCAAGATTAACATTTGAATATGAAAAATATCAAAAGACTTCAACCACTTTAAGCAATTTATCAATTTTTAAGGAATGCTTTTTTTCAAGCTGCTTTGCAAGCAGAAGATGCTGTTTGCATAGTGTGTTGAGGTCAATAGGTACCAATGGACTTAGAGTATTTGTTGGCTGCTGCATGTATAATATATTTACTTAAATGACTACTTATCACTGTGAAATTCATGTATGTTTTATGAACCATTTCAGATGAAGAAGATCTAACACTAGGTTCCAGATAGGAAATCCTATCTCCTTGATGCTATTAAGTTCTCAGAAAATTATGCCCACCAAAAAACAACGTATGGCCCAGATTTGGTCTTTTTACAAAATTTTGCTTTGCTACAGTGCCCCTAAGAATCACGATTTTGTGCTCAGTACTTCACATTTATTATATATTGATTGCTGTAATTAACTGCTTTTGCTTTGTACTTTTGGGCTTCATTAAGTGGACTAAAAGTGTCAATACACAGCTACTGTTCAACCAGCTCACGAGCAAAATTAAATAATACTTTATTGTGACTAGTTATTAATGTTCTGTAAATGAAACAAGCAAGGGGACTGCATGGGTGAAGGAATTGGTAATAACAACATAAGATAGAGACTTTTATTTTTAGAGTAACTGCTCGGTGCAGATTAACAGTAGCTAAAACTATATAACTAAGGATGCTGAATTAGTTATGCTGCATGCGTTATGTGAAATGAGATTACTGATAGCAGTTCAGTGTCTAGGGTCTAGAGAATAAAGGCATCATCAAGTAACATATTTTGCTATGGATATTTCCATAGTACAGTACTCAAAGATATCATCTCTTTCTGTTCATGCACTGAACAGAGGGGAAAGAAAATAAACAACCCAATAACATGCTCACGTGGCATTTAAGTTGCATCTGTGTCATGTTCTGCAGGTCTGTTGTGCAGGCAACAGCAATACCATGTGGAAGTATCCACTGACAGTTCAGTAAAGCGTTCTTGGTGGGTGACCTGCCCTGTGATCACTGTAAATGTTCTGCCCATTACAGAGCTATGGCTCTGTTAAGAATTTCATTGCTACAGAACACGTTGCACTCGTCAAGTTTAAACAAGGTAGACTTGTGTTTTCAGAGTTTGGCACTGCTTAAGAATATTACATTAAAGCATATGCAAAGAAAAAGGCTATCTTTCTAAGCTAAATTGGTACATCTTTTTAGATAGTAACACAAAAAGATAAGAACCTTGCTCAGAATATGAATTAAAACCCATTTTCCCCTACATACAAAAAACGAGCTGCACGTTAACAGATGTTACCAATTCTAATATATTAGTTTTTCATCTTTTTAAACCTTTCTATACAGGTCACCAGTGAAAAAATATCATTTTGTTTCTAACATCTGATTTATTAGCTCACCTCAACTGTGGATACTCACAAACGGTTCATCAGTTGTCAGTACTGCAGGTTTTCTGTGAAGCTGCTGGCATCTTTTTGAGTATCAGTAAGATGGCAGATAATTCTTTCCCATTGTTTGTCCTTTGCTACATGCAAGGCAATTAGTCATTTACTAGCTTCCTTTCAAACTTTTGAACCTTTTCCCTTATCAAAAGACAGCGTTCAACTATAAACATCTACACGCCACTTAGTTCTGAAAAAGTTGTCTGACATATATATGTCTATACATATTTATTTTTGCCAGGGATTAGTATTTTCATATCTATTTTCTTTAAATATCATACTTAATATCCTTTTAAAATCACTTCACCTTCATATCTTGCTCCCTCCACACACACATGCACTTGTACACATACACATATAACTTATATAAATTTATTCAGACTTATATGATGCAGATTTATGGTAAAAGTTCAAGCATTTTCTCCCTTACTGGAGGCAAATGTCTCATTAATATTTTATTTTATTGTTTAGGCATATATGCTAATCTTGTGTTCTTGGCAAATGAAATTAGACCACCTTCAATTATAAATGACGATTTTAGAATTATATTTATGAAAAGATAAATAACATTGAAAGATAGTGCCAATAATTCGTAAACTATTTATATATTTTGGAATCATATTTATCTCCTATTCTCTGTAAAGACGAATGCAAGACATGAGTCATAGCCTTTTAACATATTTCCCTGGGTTATCTGAAGCTAGATCAGATGGAACACTTTATCAGAATCCTTGAAATCATGTAAACAACAAACAAGAGCATCTGCATTTTAAGTATTAAGTGCTTAAGTACCATGAAAACCTCAGCACTGGCAGATTTGCTCCAACTCCTCTGCTAACGGGTGGGCTTCATATTCTTTACCCTGAAAGCGTTCCACACAAGAGATGAATGTGAAACTTAGCTTTCATAGCTGAAGCACATATCCCAAAATGCGTTACTGTTGTTTAATTAATTCCTGAAAAAGACCACAGCAATTTCTATGCTACATTATTCATTATATTCATTAAAGAGAATATTCAGTAGCACAAACTAAAAGAGGAGATTTATACTGGATAACAGAAAATAAGTTCTTCACAGTAAGGTTTTAAAACACTGGAACAGGTTGCCCAGAGAGGTGGGAGATGCCCCATCCCTTGTGACAATTGAGGTCAGGCTGTACATGGCTCTGAGCAAGCTGATCTAGCTGTAGGCATCCCTGATTCTTGCAGGGGAGTCGGAGTAGATGGCCTCTAAAGGTCCCTTCCAAATAAAACAGTTCTATGATTCTACGAAAACATAAATAATTATATCCATTCTTGCAAAGCCATCTCTTTCAATCCCCTTGATGACATTTCAGTATCTGCAGAAGTTACATTGCTTACAAACATAAAGACAAAACTTGATGTGTTACTTTATCTTCTCATGGCCCATTGCTCTGAGATTGTTCTTTACCATTTGGCTTTTTTTTTTTTTTTTTTTTTTTGCCACATCTTCACTGAAATACTCAGACAAAAACAAATATAGATATATATAGGTTATTCTCCACATAATAAATCTCATTAATCCCAAACTGTAAAATATTCATGTTAAATGTATGCTTGGTTGTTTATACAGTTTGCAGACTAGTCGCAATTTTTCAAGTGTTTCTGTATTGGGCAACGCAAGTGCATGGATTCCTATGTTTGATTTGAGCCATATTGGGAAGTATGGAAAAGATATTCACAGCATTGTTGTACCCAAAGCTCTCTCTCTGAAAAATAAATTCAAAAATAAGAAAAAATAAAGCCTGGTAAAGTGACAAAAAGGCAGCCAAATAGAGTGCCCCTGAGAAAGATCAAGACTTTAAAGGCAACAGCAGCTAGAAGAGTATGCAGACAAAATCAGAATTGCACATATAAGGTAAGAATCAGAAAACAATTTTTATGTTGGCAGAACTGTAACATGAATTTTTCCCTCTCCTGTCCCATTCTACCAGATACCCAGGCTTTGGTGTGCATGATGCGTTCAAATTAAAAACAGCACGAGCGCTGTAAAGAGAAGAAAATAGTCCTGAGGGCTGAGTATTTTACAGGCAGACTGAGATTCCAGCCTCTAAAATCCCCGGGGCCACTTTGAAAATCTCAGCCTAAATGTTTAGATAGTATTACTATCTGCTTTTCTTTCAAACTGCAAATCCCAGTTGTTCTCAGAATTTCCCAATGAATAACACACTTATCCATGAAACATAAGCTGTGGTTAGGACAAAACCTTTACCCTGCAATCTCTCTACAGATATAATCTGTTTACCAATATACCATAGCCCTGGTACCACTCAGCTTACATCGTACACGGGAACCTCTTTACTTCAGCACCTGGGAGGCTTCAGAAACCAGTTTTGCAAATCACCTACAACAAAATGTAATGAAAAAGGCATTGTTGGCCTATTACAATTTTTTTTTTCATGTCATGTGAAAGAACGTGAGGTGATTTAAAATACAGAGCACCACAGAAAGGAAGGAAGCAGGCATTCTAGATAAAAGTACTTAAGATTAATTTAACATGCACAGGATTTCCCAATTAAAACTTTCACATTAGCACTGCATTTCAAACAGTTAATCTCCTAATGAGACATCCCAGCAATGAGAAGTGAATTGCAGGGCTGAATACAGCCCTGAGGCCAGCATCTGGAAAAGGCTGTAGTCTGTAAAGGCTGCATTTACGCTGCTGCGTCCAAGGCTGGAAAGAAAGGACTGCACTGCCACCTACTGTCAAGATGTCTTTTCCCACCAGGAGCTGCCACTAACCGTGAGACTTCGTGCTGTCACACAAAAATGTTGAGCGCTGCTGACCAAAGCACGCACCAAAGAATACGGTGTAACTTAATCATTAATGTATACAAATTTTAGATTATTTTTTAACTCTGGTAGATTTTTTTTTTCTCTCTTCATTATACAACAAAACCAAAAGAATACTGTGCTCAACAGCGTGGGAGAGCCTGTGCAGAAGCCTCTCCTTTTCCCTCACCCTCGTACCCAGATTTCCAGTGTTACACTTTTGAATCCTGGCCGAGGAAGAGAAGACCTGCAGCCATTTCAGCTAACGATACACTTACTGACTCATCCAAGAAAGGTACATTGTAGTTGACTTCTTCCCTTCCCCTGGGAGCCAAAGGCATTACCTCTGTGACATGCTTGATCAGTGAGAAGCTGGATGCAAAGAAGCCTTGCATAGCAGCCCAGGGCACTTCCGTGGAGACATGAGCTTAATTGAAAACCAAGATATACTGCGTGTTCCTCTCAGGGTCTTTTTTTGACAGCTGAATTTGCAAATCAATTAACACGTTGAGAACAGCTAACTCCTTTTCCTAGTAGACATCTCCACTACCCATTGATCAAGAAATAAATTGTCAGAAGTAGCAGGGGAAAAAAAAATAAATCTCAGAACGCAAAGAAACTTACCTAATGGTGAAATAGAGAAGACAGAACATCAGGGTAAATGAATGTCAGTCATTCCATTTGTAAATTATAGCAAACTTGAACATTTTACCTAGGATTTAAGACATGACAGCAGGTAACTGTGTGTTTTCTCTGCTCTTCCCCTTAATTTTATATGCAAAGAGCATTATAAATACACAGACAAGAGAATCTCCATCCTCATATCTATAGTTGTTTGATAACTTAAAGCCACAGACCAGTTGGAGCTGCTGCTGTGAAAATCACAGAGTTGCATGTCATCTGCAAGCACCCTGTGGGGAAAACAATCTCCAATTCAGTGTGTGTGTCAAAAGATGTCTCAGAAGACTGAAGTTGGAAGTACAAGCTCAGAGGAACATATGCCCTTCCTATATATCCATCAAAATAAGTCCAAAGCAAACAAGAAAGCTTAAATGCACTTTCTAAAGAGTAGATTTCTTTCATTTTTTTATTTTTATTTTTATTTTTTTGGTCAACAATAGATAGGACCTGATACAATCACAGAAGCAGTGATATTCACTTGTTTAATGACTGGGAAAAAAAAAAATAAAAAAATCCAGATATCCTTACACTACTGCTTCTCTGCCTTCAGGCCCTGCAGTACTCTATATTTCAAGTACAAGACAGATACTATATTTGTGTGTCTCTACTCTGTGCCTTTTTAGAGGCATAATCTGGTCATGGCACCAAAGTATTCGTATGTTTGGACCTGAGAAAAGAGTTGTTTCTTTTAAAAGGCATAGATATAGTACAACAATTCTTCAAAAAGCATTCTCACAAGAAATGCCTCCCTTCACTTGTCATTTATCACAGTAATAGTTCTGAAAAATTAATGCTTTTTGAAATTCTATTCAATTTTGTTTCACTATATTTTTTTTTTATCTTTGAATCAACTTACTTGCTGTAAGGCTTCTACTTAAAATATATTCAGAAGTTTTTCTTCGTTTGTGAGCAGCAGCAACAGAACTTATGAAAAACATCTTTTTTTTTTATTTAAATAGAATGCAATATTTGCTTCCCAATGGAAATCCTTAAAACATCTTCCTTCCAGCAACAAGCCCAAGTGAGAAATTTTGTATGGTATCTTACGTAACATTGACCAAAGAAAATTGTACTTCACCAATTTCTCATATCCACTGTGTTTAAATTCAAACTAATGAAGTTATTTCCATCAGGAATTGCAGATATTTGAGGCATCTCTACAAAAGCCCTTCAGGCAAGAAAGTGAGACTAATTACACGTTTTCACCTCTTCTTCACAAAAAAAAAAAAAACAAGACAAATACACAAAAAAAGGACAGAAACAAGTTTTAGCAAGACTAATCTTCCTTTCCACAATTTCTGCACTGGCTGTGTTGTGTGTGGACCTCAGTTTGCTATAAAGCACTGTACTTAAGACAATTGTGACGTGCTCCTGTGTTAATGAAAGGTTTTCTCAGGATTGAAGCAGAACTATAAAGGCCTGATTTTTATGACAATACAACTACATGAGCACTGGTAATCCAAAAGCATATTTCATTACTGCTGTAAATAAAAAATATTGAAAAATCTACATGAAATCTTAGTTTCAATGCACTGTATGCTTACTCTTCTTAATATCTTTCACTCCAAACTGACTCTGTTGATATCCTTTATGTAAAAAACAGCATTTGA